GAGCCTACAATATCTTTTTTTTTTTTTTTTTTTTTTCCGTTTTTTTTTTCCTTTTTTTTTCATTCTTTCACTCCGACGTTCGGGATGCCTGCGCCCGGTAGTCCGAGCCTCGGCACGGGTCGGCGTACCGGTCGGCCGAGGCTCGGACTCGATAGCTGGGCCAGGTACTGGTGGTTTAAGTATTCTTCCCGGGCCTTGGGGGCAGGTGGAGCTGCTCCGTAGGATACTCGGCGCTTGTAACAGGATTCCATCTCATCTGGCCATCAAATCCCTCGATAGGCTATAAAACCCAATCCTAGCAACTCAGCAGCGGAGCCACCTTCCCAAATTCCCTTAACACCCCGGCAAGACGGTCACCTTAAAGAACCCGATCCTAGCAACCCAGCAGCAGAGACACCTTCCCAAAATTACCTTAGCATCCCGGCTAGAAAGTCGCCTTTCCCCTTACCCGACCGAACTCCTCCCAGAGTCATAAAGGGAGAAACTCCCTCTTCATGAGTAGGCCCCGGGCCTGACAGCTCGTCCTCCCCCTTGCAAAGTAAAGCAGACAGGTCAAAGATAGCAATGTCTTCCGAAAGTCTCTATTCCTATACCTAGAATGATAGACCAAGCCTTGGAATCCTCAGCTATGACCTGCCTGCCCAATACCTCGTCCTTTTGACCAAGAACGTTCCTCTCCGATAGATAGAGGGCAGAAGCTCGCCTTCGTGATCCCGACCGTCCTGTGTAACCCTTGACCGTGCAGGGTAATCTTGCCAGCTCGATAATAACCAAGACCTCCAAGAGTCGTGGAGGGGAGGATAGAGGAATAAAGAGAGGGGGGAAATACAAACCAAGAAGAGAGGACCGACTGGCAGCTGGTATCCTGCTCAATCAGACTTGAATGGCCACTTCAAAAAAAAAACAATATCCCAACAGCTCCTCTTAAACTCGGCTGTGAGTATCATGCCCGACGGATCCTCCCTTCGTACTCTCTGCTGTGACCCCCTGTCCAACAGCTCATCTCCTCTATTGTACAAAGAAGGCGGACGACTGGGCGACAGCAGTACCATCAGAATCCACGAAACTAAGGTAGCAGCGAACCTTCATGGAGCCACAGCACGTGAAATTACCACCATGACCAAAACCAGCGATGGCAAAGACAACGAAAAATAAGGGGAGACATCGTGGTCCGAAGACCTCGCCCTTCGTACTCTCTGCTGTGATCCCCTGTCCAACANGCGATGGCAAAGACAACGAAAAATAAGGGGAGACATCGTGGTCCGAAGACCTCGCCCTTCGTACTCTCTGCTGTGATCCCCTGTCCAACAGCGCATCTCCTCGATCGTACAAAGAAGGCTGACAACTGGGCGAAAGCAATACCAACATATTTCACTAAACTAAGGTAGCAGAGAACGTTCATGGAGTCCACAGCACGTGAACTCCCCACCATGACCAAAACCCGCGAATGGCAAGACAACGGAAAATAACCGATGAAAGCGATGAAGACCATGGAAACCATGAAAACCATGGGCTGACTCGAAAGGGAACCAATCCGACAAGCGGTACCAGCGTAGAGTTGGTATGATGGTCCCTCCGTTCCTTGTCGCGATGGCAAGGTTGACGACGAGGCAGGGCCTAACAAGCCTCGGTAATCCCGAGGAAAAATTTCGGCCGGCGCTGTTTCGGAGTGGCGCAGCAGTGCGCTAACCACCCAGCCGCGGCGCCCCCGTTTTTCCGTTTTGCACATTTCGAGAGTAGGGGAGCTAGGCCCAAAGAGAACAAATGTTTCGCTGGAAGATGGGTAGACACACCGCCAGATATTGACGCCACCATATATTGTTGTCTTTTCGACATGCCGAGAGTAGTGGAGCCTGGCCCATTTATTGTTCAGCCGGCAACAGAGGCGGCGAAGGGTGTCACCACTCTCGGAATGTGAAAAAGACAAAATGTAGCGGGTGCATCTGGTCATGTTCTAGCGGGAAGTTCATTCTCATTTTACACATTTTGAGAGCGGTGTGGCGATGCCTTAATAGAAAAAAACTAGAAAACTATGCTATTCGATGGCATGTGGGCGGAGGCCCCTGGCTTGTCGGAAAGGAAAAGGACAAAGCAGAGGATCTCGCATGCACCAAGGAAAGTGGGATTTTCCCGCCGTAGCTTCCCGCCACGAATTCTCCACACCGGGGGCTAGGTCCCACTTACACGAATTAAGCGATATTGACCGTAGATAGCAAAGATCAACGGTAAGCGTCTCTTAATCCGTGCAAGTGGGACCTTGCCCTGGGGGGAGTTCTCTACTTGGGAAAGAAATTGGACCAGACACGCAGGGGCCATGCTAATCTTCTCTCAGTCTCTGTATCGTTCTCTGAGTTCTATGGTAGCTTGTCCGGGGCGAGGTCCCACTTGCGCAAATTAGGAGATTTGGGCCGTTGATCTTTGTTATCTACGGTCAGTATCTCTTAATTCGTGCAAGTGGGACCTAGACCCCGGTGGCAAAAACGTGTTAGCCAGGCAATGGGCCTCGCCACACCACTCCGGAAATCCCGAATGATGATGGGGCCCGTCCGCTGGGCGGGGAGGGAATTCTAAAAGCTGTGAAGCTATCGGCCGCCAAAATGATGTGGTCCCCACCATGTCTGAGAAGCGGCGTGTGACGCAAGGCCACACCGACGCTGCTTACCCTCACAGAGTTCCACTGCTGAACAGTAAAGCAGCCACCGCCGATTGCCAGAATTACCTGAATGGGAAGGAAGAGATGGTAGATGGGAATGGGACTGTGGAGTGTGTGTTACGTGCAATCTAGAATCCATCCCAGTCCCAAGAGAAGAGAGCAAAAAAAACAGATGAGAGTGTGAAGTGTCTGCTACGTGTAATCTCAAATCCATCGCGTTCCGGAGAAAAGAGAGAGGGAAACAAACAGAGAGAGAGAGAGAGAGAGAGAGAGAGAGAGAGAGAGAGAGAGAGAGAGAGGATGGGTTGCAGGCGGCTACGGACGCAGAAGAGATGCTAGGGACAGTAATAGCCCGCCGAGTCACAACTTTGTGGCGTTCGCCCTCCTTGGATGGGAGGAGGAGGGAGTTAGTGGCCGAGGCATTCGCCACAAACTCGTGTGTCGTTGGCCCCTTCGCCGTGCGTCGATCTCCTGCGTCCACGTGTTTGCGCGTCGTTGTCGTACCAGTGCGGTCATCAGAGCCTTCAACTCCGTCGTTGTCGTCTTCATCGTCGTGGTTATCCGTAGGTACGCAGCACTCGCAGAGGCACCATTGCCGTTTCACCTTCCTGTCACCTTGGGCTTGTTCTCTTTCTCCCGCTTGTTATTGATAGCATTAATTAATAGCATTAATAATCGGACATCCCGTGCCGTGGGTCGCCATCATCATCATTGTCGTGGTCGTCGTTATTCTTCCTCTCATCCGCCATTGCTGATCTCATTGTCCAGATCGGTCCTGAACTCCTAAATTCCTCTTCTCTATACGAACCCGTCCTCTTATGTCTGGTCCAGCAGATTCTATGTGCCGATTCTGTGTGCTTCTGTTTCTCCCCGTGCGCTCTCCTCCCCTTCGGCTCCGTCGACGCTGATCTCGCCCGCTGCTGCGCCGATCGCTCTCCTGCAGTCGCTTCCACCATTTTACCAGTTCGCTTCTCTTCTTGAAACATGTGACTCTCTCTCTCTCTCTCTCTCTCTCTCTCTCTCTCTCTCTCTCTCTCTCTCTCTCTCTCTCTCTCTCTCTGTGTCTTACTGTCTCGCTTGCCGTATTTCTTCTGTTGCATTTACAAAAGCAGTGTTGCATTGCTGTGATCACTCGAGAAGCAGGCGTCCCTAGGCCGTTCTCTTGCGATTTCTCTTTCCAAGACCATAGAGAGAGCAAACGATCGCTCCTTGATTCCCCATCTCCTCTCTTGCCTCTCCTTCTCCACCTCTTCTTTTCACCATTCCTTCCCTCTCTGGGGTTTCGAAAATAAACTAAGTAAACTCTCAGCTCGTTGATCATCGGTCAGCACAGACGGTATCGGGTTGTTCGCACTTCCCCCTCCCCCCTGCCCCCTCGTTGTCTTCTCACATTTTTACCCCTCCC